CGCGGTGGCTTGGGCGCTTTCCTCTTCTCCAAAGCTGTGGGCTCAGGCTCTGCGGGCGCAGGTCTGGGCGACGGCACGGGTGCTGCACCTCGGAAAGAAGTACCCCAACCCCGCACCAATAGCTGTATTCAGGGGCCAGATGGGGCTAGTAGTAACAAGTGCCTTACTAGTAGTAACAAGGACGCTAGTAGAAACAAGTGCCACGCTAGTAGTAACAAGTGCCTTACTAGTAGTAACAAGAAGCTAGTAGAAACAAGTGCCCAGGGGGTGGCCTTTTGCCAAACCGCGTTTCAACGTTGCTTGTTCTGTTTTCGTTTGTGTGCTTTGTATGTCACAGCAAGGGAAGACTCCTGCTTGTCTTATGCTGAAGACACTGTTCAGGGCACTAAGAAGTTTGGGATCCGCGGAATGACGATCTTGCAATCTCTCTCTCTCTCCCTCTCTCTCTGATCGGCTTGGTCATCCTCAAAGCAAAAACAGAATCCGAGTCACCTTCTTCATCTCCGAAGAAGAGGTCGCCAAAGGAGAGGACAACTTCACCAACAATGGTGGTCAAAGCCAGCACAACTATGGTTGTGAGACCTGAGCTGTTTGCAAAAAGAGTGAGCAAACCAATCCAAAACAAGGTGTAAGGTGTCGTTCCTGGCGATTCAAACCTGCTCCAGCTGAGCTATTGTGTCGATGGCATCCAACCTAGTCCTCCAACTAGCGATGGCCTCCAACCTAGTAGCAGTCGATTTGTGTCTTAAGAAAGCTAAAAGTCTGCGCAAATCGTTCCGCAGTCCTCTTCGCAGACCAGCGGCTCACGCGGATCCAATTTGGAGCGACTTGCGAGATGCCCCGGACGCAAACGATGATAGTGAGAACAAGGAAGAAGGCATTGCTGGCATAGCACAAAATGATGAGCCTAGGCCTCAGCTTCGTCAGAATGCGTTATGATTTGTATAATCATTGCTTGTTCTTTCGCTTGTTTTTTTTTCATGTGTGAGTTGGTGTCTTTTTGTCGCAACTTTCGATGTGGCCTTAGATTCTTAGATCTTGGACCGTGAGGCTCTGACCAGCTGTGCTGCCGCAAGATAAGGGTGACATTCACACAAAGCACCACTGAGATGAAGCACAAGTTCCCCACCAATGAGGTTTGTGAGAGGTCAGGGCCACCATCTCCTCGCGTCAAAAGACTGCCTTGTTTTGTAATCGAGTCACTAGTAGCGTCCTTGCTCCTAGTAGTAAGGCCAGGAGCCCCTAGTAGCGTCCCTGTTACTACTAGTAAGGCACTTGTTACTAGAAGCGATGCACTTGTTCCTACTAGCGTGGCACTTGCTCCTAGTAGTAACCTATCTGCAGTATTGGAGTCACTTGAAACTTGCAACCGTGAAAGCACACTTCGTCTGCAAGAGCCAGACCATGCTCGAGGTTAGTATCATGTAGTAAATGTCTAACTACAAAAGAGTATTAGTATAATGTAGTATTAGTATCATGTTTCACAAAGGACAGATCCAAAAGAGTGGCAACTCTTCCAAGTTGGCGTTCCTGCAATGCCGGCAGTTGTTGAGTACCATGCAACGATAATGACCAACGCTTGAAGCACTGCTTTCCCCATCCACAAGAACTCCACATCCTTAGAGAAACGGAAACGAGAACGCAAATATTGAGAAGCACCAACGGCAGGGAGGCGGAAGCTTGCGGCGCTCCAACGGGCCTCCTGGCCATCGCTACGTCTGGAACAAGGACCGCTTCAACGGAAGGCTGCCGGAGGGCGGAAGGCTCATGCAGTCTTGTGCCAAGAACGAATTCGGAGTCGGCCTTCGCTTACAGCGGCCTGGCGGCCGCTTAGTCTTGCCCTGTAGGTTGGACTCATCAAAAAAAAGAAAAAGAAAACCGTCTCGCAGTGATGTTGCAGTGATGTCTCGCAGAAATCACCGTCGAGCGGCCATCCCAAAGAGGTGCGGAGAATGGCCTGACGGATCCAGCTCCAAGACATCCGGGTCACCAGCCCTAGCGAAGAGATTGATATCATCACAGCATCCAGTGGCTCCGGTGTCTCCAACCTACTAGTGATGGGCTCCGGCCTCCAAATGGCCTCCATGAACTCTTATGGATTCTCTTGAAAAGCTTAGTTCCTAGTAGCTTCTTGTTCCTAGTCCTAGTAGTAAGGCCAGGAGCCCCTAGTAGCGTCCTTGCTCCTAGTAGTAAGGCCAGGAGCCCCTAGTAGCGTCCTTGTTCCTAGTAGTAAGGCCAGGAGCCCCTAGTAGCGTCCTTGTTCCTAGTAGTAAGGCCAGGAGCCCCTAGTATTGAACAGCTAATTTGTCTGTTCATGATGGAACAGCGCTGTTCGTGATGTAAGATCTTTGGGAAGCTTTCCGGGAGACGAGGCAAGGCCACGATTGAATTAGAATAAACAAAAGTCTTCTGGCAAAGATCTTTTGAAAACTATCCTCAGGTTTGAAGCAATCTGAAGGCACCTGTCCAGGATGCCATAGATGAAGATGGGTAAGTGGCAGTGCAACAAGTTGTAGCATTGCATGAGCCAAGGGTTTACCACATTGGCACCAGAGAAGGCATTCACGGCACAAGACAGAATGGTGATCAGTACGTTCACCTGGTTCCTCAGTTCTGTTCTCAAAACGTTTATGGCAAGAATTCACTCAAACATTTTGTTGAGAAAGAAAGCATGCCTCAAGGCGAATCTGACGTCAGGCGAAGTAATCTACTGAAACCAAATTGGTGCGCCCCAAGTTCTGGAAGAAAGAGGGCATCCTGCGCCTTCTTCATAGTTCTCCGTAGACACATCTTGAAAGGAGAAATGTCTTGCTTGAAACATTGTCCAACCCAAAAGAAAGGAAGGTGTTGTAAAGGTGAAGGTCACACAATTTCCAAGGTGCTTGTAGAAGGTGTAGATGCAAACCATGGAAAGTCGCCGATAATCTTCTTTGCCATGGGCAAAGACTGCACGCCGTAAGAGCCTCCAAAGCAGAGCAGTTGGGTGGTTCAAAGAAGGTCCAAGAACCCTCAGTCAGTACAACTTCTGGACCAAAGATTGGAGATAGATGTACGGCGAAATCAAAGGTTAGAAAAACAAGATAGGAACTAAACGCCATGTAGTTGTGGATGGATCCTGAGCAAGCGTCTTGAAGCATCTAAATGTCGCCCACATGCTCTACCTGTAAAACCGGAAAAGGCAAATACTGAATAGCTTCTTGCTACTAGTAGAAATGCCCTTAGCAACTAGTAGCGTCCTTGCTACCACTAACCTACTAGCGATGGCCTCCAACCTAATAGCTTCTTGCTACTAGAAATGGTGCAGAGTCTAACTTCGCAGAGTCTCCATGCAATGCTGGGACAGCAAAGCTTCCAGCGTTTTGACACCAAAGTCAAAGAAATAGTCTCAATGCATTATCACTCTACACTAGGTTGGGGGCCATCGCTCCTAGGTTGGAGGCCATCGGTTGGAGGCAATCGCTCCTAGGTTGCAGGCCATCGCTAGTAGATTGGAGGCCATCGCTCCTAAGTTGGAGGCCGTCGCTCCTAGGTTGGAGGCCATTGCTCCTAGGTTGGAGGCCATCGCTCCTAGGTTGGAGGCCAACGCTCCTAGGTTGGAGGCAATCGCTCCTAGGTTGGAGGCCATCGCTCATAGGTTGGAGGCCATCGCTTCTAGGTTGAAGGCCATCGCTCTTAGGTTGGAGGCCATCGCTCTTAGGCTCAGGGCCATCGCTTCTAGATTGAAGACGGAGGTCATCGCTCTTATGTTGGAGGCCATCGCTCTTAGGTTGGAGGCCATCGCTTCTAGATTGAAGGCCATCGCTCTTAGGTTGGAGGCCATTACTAGTAGGTTGGAGGCCATCGCTCTTAGGTTGGAGGCCATCGCTCTTAGATTGAAGGCCATCGCTCTTAGGTTGGAGCACATCGCTCTTAGGTTCGAGCCCATCGCTCTTAGGTTGGAGGCCATCGCTCTTAGGTTGGAGGCAACCGCTCTTCGGTTGGAGGCCGTCGCTCTTAGGTTGAAGGACATCGCTCTTAGGTTGAAGCCACCGCTCTTAGGTTGGACGCCGTCGCTCTTAGGTTGGAGGCCATCGCTCTTAGATTTAAGGCCATCGCTCTTAGATTGAAGGCCATCGCTCTTAGGTTGAAGGCCATCGCTCTTAGGTTGAAGCCATCGCTCTTAGATTGAAGGCCATCGCTTTTAGATTGAAGGCCATCGCTCTTAGGTTGAAGGCCATCGCTCTTAGGGTAAAGGCCATCGCTCTTAGATTGGAGGCCGTCGCTCTTAGATTGAAGCCCATCGCTCTTAGGTTGAAGGCCATCGCTCTTAGGTTGAAGGCCATCGCTCTTAGGTTGAAGGCCATCGCTCTTAGATTGAAGGCCATCGCTCTTAGATTGAAGGCCATCGCTCTTAGGTTGAAGGCCATCGCTCTTAGGTTGAAGCCCATCGCTCTTAGGTTGAAGGCCATCGCTCTTAGGTTAAAGGCCATCGCTCTTAGATTGAAGGCCATCGCTCTTAGATTGAAGGCCATTGCTCTTAGGTTGAAGGCCATCGCTCTTAGATGGAAGGCCATCGCTCTTAGATTGAAGGCCATCGCTCTTAGGTTGAAGGCCATCGCTCTTAGGTTGAAGGCCATCGCTCTTAGGCTGGAGCTTCTCTCTACTTGGTGCGGCGTGGCCTGAACTCTGGCAAGGCGAAGTCGCCACTCTGTGCAGCTTGTGCGCCTTCCTTGCCACAAAGACCAATGCCCACATGGGCAGCCACGATCATGGAGACATCGTTGGCCTCAAGAACACACGCGGCATCCTTGGACCAAGGCTCAAAAGGGATAAAAACCTATTAGGAACAAGAAGCTATTAGGAACAAGTGCATCGCTACTAGTAACAAGTGTCTTACTAGCAGTAACAAGAAGCTAGTAGAAACAAGTGCCACGCTACTAGGAACAAGTGCCTTACTACTAGGAGCAAGAAGCTATTAGGAACAAGTGGATCCAAGCGGCCCCATCACCAATCGACAAAGTGACTGCCGTCTGATCCATGGTCTTCACCTAGGAAATCCAAGTTGTGCAGCGAACGACATGTCTACGACTTTAAGCCCCAAGCTTAGCAACTAGTAACAAAGAGCATTTCTACTAGGAGCAAGGACGCTACTAGGGGCGCTCCTGGCCTTACTACTACTAGGAACAAGAGGACGCTACTAGTAACCTTCTTGCCAAGGTGCCAAGTCCACAACATCCGCCTTTTGCTTTGGAGACACGCGGCAGCATACCACTGATCTGGGCAGGGATCAAGAGATTGCAGGATTGCAGGGATCTATGATTTGCAGTGCGTTGCAGTGCGTTGTTTTGAGCAAACTGAGGGGAAACATCTTGTGTTTTTTCCTGCAGACTCCTTCGGTGTGTTTTCTCTGATTTGCTAGATTCAAAGACACTCATTGTCTCCATGTGAAGATTCTCTTGGTTTCTCTTGACAGACTGAGCCTATCCATTTCTATTGAACCCTGCAACGCGTCTTGGGCGTTGAGTGTCTCAGAGCACAGTCTGCAACCACAAGGCAAGCTTCTGCCTATGCCAAACTGCAGCTTGGCAAAAAGCAATCCGATTTTCGCCAAAGGGGCTTGCTGAAGAAGTGCACATAGGGTGGTGGAAGCACTCATCATAAGAGGACACTGTGGACACTCCACAATTGAGCCACCAGTGAACGTTGAGCCGCTGTGCAAAGAAAAGTTTGTGGGCTAAGGAGGACTAGGAGACATGTTCTCGAGAGCAAAACATGCAGTAAATGCAAGGGAAACAGCGTGGCATCTGCCATCGATCATCTAGGCAGCGTGGAGAAAAGAGAGCCAGGAGAGCTAAGTGACAAAAGAAACTTCGGCGTACATGTCAATTCAGATCAGGCAAAGATGCAGCCGGCAAGTTCACATGAGAAACTGACAAGACATAGAGGACACAAAGCTGAATTCAAGATATGAATCAATAAGATTCCCTATTCGTTTACAGAGAAGGAAGGAAGGCAATAAAAAAGATAAATACGGACAGAAAGCTAGAAAAGAACAAAGAAAAAAGGTCTAAAGGTACAAAAATTGGATTCATCTAGAGATGCAGGTTGCCGCTTAAGGCAGTGGAGGCAGAATGCAAAGCCGAAAAGGTGTTTCAGAATGTGTTCTGATATTTTCTGAGGACAATCACTAACCACTGCAGATGGCAAACGGCAGGTGGTCAGCTGTCTGCTCTTGAAGCATGAGTATGATGCAAGCTGCCAGAGTTCTGAGCTAGCTGGCTACAGCTTGTGCAAACTTGGCCCAAACATTCAACCGAACTTGAACAAGAAGCTACTAGGAACAAGTGCATCGCTACTAGTAACAAGTCCCTTACTAGTAGTAACAAGAAGCGATTAGTGAATTTACTTTAATTTTAATTCTAGTTACTACTAGCGAGGCACTTGTTACTAGTAGTAACAAGTGCCTCGCATCACCATGTGAGACCGCTGATGCAAAGCTAAAAGCATTGCATGGAAGAGCCACTCAGCCCATTCCAAACTGGACAAACTGACACAAGGGAGTTATGCATGGGAAAGTCTTGGCCAAACTCGAAATCCGTTGGCAAGGAGGTCATCGTTATTAGGTTGGAGGCCATTGCTATTAGGTTGGAGGCCATTGCTTCTAGGTTGGAGGAAGGATGATTTCAAGCGCACTGAAATCAACCACATCTGGAGAGCCCGCGGGCCTGCAACGCTGCCCTGCGTGGAAGAGCAAAGAACGAGTGAGGCGATCTTCCATGACTTCGGCCAGCATGGATCCTGCGTCGCCAGGGGACAAAGCTAGTAGCCATGGCCTCCAATGCTTGTCTATTAGTTGATTTCCACTAAGCTCCAGTGTAGGAAACAATTGTAAAATCTGTCCTTAAATTGTCAAGCAAAAGCTGGACAAAGCTGGGCTCAAACCGACTTTCTTGCTTCGTACTTTCGGCTCCTTCAATGGTCAGAGCTGGATCTTCTGCTTCTAAAACGTCCCGTAAGATCTCTGGGAGCCTCAGGTGGGCTGATGGTGCCATCTTCTGGTGAGCCCAAACTGGTAGCTTATTGTTTCCTAGAAGCGTCCTTGTTACTACTAGTAAGGCACTTGTTACTAGAAGCGATGCACTTGTTCCTTGTAGCTTCTTGTTTCTAGTTGCTAAGGAAAAACGAGGGCACTGACAAACAAAACACCGGAACTTAAGAAGGTCATTGGCAAATAGGATGAAGGTCACAGCAGTGGGACATCAACTTGCACGTGTGGGCGAGTGGCTTCTGTTCGGTGTCACTGTCAATGATGAAGTTGTTCATCTCATCAGTGAGTAACTTGCAGGACATTGCGATGCTGATTGCTGTGTCGACCTTGTCACCAGTCAGCACCCACACCTCAGTGCTAAAAAATGTCTCGGAGTCGGGCTTAAAACTAAAATTGCTTGGTAGCATGAAGGTGCTTACCGTTTCCTATGGAACAAAAGGTGTTCTTTTCTTGAGACATTTCAACCCCGAGACCTTTCTGGTTTCGTCCTTTCCTCCATCATTAAGGTTTCAATCTCAGTATTTTTTAGAAAGGGTTCTTGTCAGTAAGAACTAGTCAGTGGTATTCACCTCTCCCGAAGGTGGCAGGTGTTCTTCTACTTCACAACTTTGGAGTCTTCCACAACTTTTTTGATGCTTCGCTGTCGCCTTCGCTGTAGCATATCACTCTTTCCACCACTCGCAGGGCCTTGACTCCAAGCCACACGTATACCAGCCGTGCGAAGCCTTGTTGCGGATCGGAGCACTGGAAGAGAGGATGCTTTCTCACCACTTTAAAGAACCCGACAAAATTAGTGACTCTCATCCCGAGGTGCTGCTCGATGGTTTCCGGGACCTCGTCCTGCAACTTGTCATCGATAGCCGTCGCTCCAAGCAGCTTCAACGGCCTCAAAAAGGCAAAAATAGATCACTGGTTCACTGATACGGTCATGTGAACATATATTAATTATATATTACATATACATATGTGGTGGATGTTTTGTATCAAAGCATTTTGATCCGACCGGCATCGAGCCTGTTGGTCTCCAGCTCATTGGAAAGCTCATGGATCCGGTCGGCCCGATCCTTCCAAGGAACCGCTCGAGTGGTCAGGTCATGTCGAAGGACGAGCTCAAATGTGTTCTGTTTTGTTGGCATCTGGGGCAAAAACAATGCAAACAACGCAAATGATTCTGTCGCTTTGTGATGATTTGTGATGGTTTGTGATGGTCTGTCAGCAAAGGCAAAGCTGAAATGGGCGATGTGAAACTGACAAAAGTCGAACTCTGGCCTCAGTGATCAAAGCCTTCGCTTCTTGAAAACGTTGGTGCCACGCCTGACAGGTGGAAGAGGTCCCTTTAAAAGACAAAAGGTAGCAAAGTGAGGAAGAAGGCAAGCCTGCAGGGCTCAAAAGCTGAGGTTAGAGGCCAAAAACTCGAACTCCTTACCTGAAGGAGGCCATTGCTCTTAGGTTGGAGGCCATCGCTAGTGGGTTGGAGGGCATTGCTGTTAGGTTGGAGGCCATCGCTCTTAGGTTCCTTTTGCCATTAGGTTTACTGAGCCGGAGAGCGAGAGGCAAGCTGCCTGGAACTCCTCGTTTGAAAGGCTTCGTTCTGCCAAGCATAACGTGCGTAGTCCTGGTGAGGCAAGCCAGAATGTCGCATCGGTTTTTGGAGGACAAATGAAAGAACAAAAGGTCTTGAGTCAAAGGGTCTAAAGAAAGAAAGAAAGAAAGACACAAAAAGAGGAAGAATTAAACATGCAATTCGGCTCTTCCCCCACTTGGGCCCCGACAGGTTGCTTGTTTGCAATTTTTCGTCGAGGAGGGGTGGTTAGCAATGGCAGGGCCGGTAGGGTGTGTGGTTTATCCGAAGCTTGTCTCAAGTAAATATCAAAGGAGGTGTTTGAGGAAGGTACTTCACAAAGGAAGGAAGAAAGAGAGGTCGGTTCAGGTCCAAAGAAAAGAAACAACAGCTAGGAGCAAGAAGCTACTAGGGGCTCCTGGCATCGCTACTAGGAGCTATGTTCGCTACTAGTAACAAAGGCATCGCTACTAGGGGCTCCTGGCCTTACTACTAGGAACAAAAAGCTACTAGGAGCAAAGGGCATCGCTACTAGGAGCGATCGGACGCTTCTAGCTAGTAGCGTCCTCTTGCTCCTACCCCCGCGCGCGAAAAGGTCCTAGTAGATTCCTTTGCTACTGATTTTACTTCTAATTAAACTTAATTCTAATTCTTATTAATTTAGTAGTAAGGCCCTTGCTCCTAGTAGCGATGCCCGTTGCTCCTAGTAGCGATGCCTTGCTTCAATCTCTGTCCGAGACAGCGTGCCTCGACGTGCAAAGGTCAGCAAATCGCTCACGCAAAGGTCCTTCAACTCTTGCCTTCGGAAAAAAGTGCGGTCAGTCAGGCAAACAGGAAGCCATCGCTAGGTTGGCCAGCGCTATTAAAAGGTCGTGTCTTCAAGATTCATTCAGCATGCGATTCGCTTTCACGTTCAACATGTGACGCTTGACATCCGCTGCGAATTCCGAGGATCCGCACTCCAACACGTATGGTAAAATGCTGCTGTCTGCGCCCTTCACATAGAGCAGGATTTCATCCGTTGGCAGTCGAATCACCACTGACATGCGCTTCCGAAGGTTGTCGAACTCACAAACCTGAAAGACTCGGCGCACGAAACCGCAATTCCCGAATGGAACGTGTCGCACTTGTTTCTACTAGCTTCTTGTTACTACTAGTAAGGCACCTGTTACTACTAGCGTGGCACTTGTTACTACTAGCGTCCTTGTTACTACTAATGAAGTCTTTCAGCGCTTTCAGCGGAGTCTTTGTTTTTCAAACCGAAGCCGCTCCGCCCTAGGCCAACTCGCCCCCAAATGGCCAAGGCACATCCAAGAGCTCCGCTTGAAAGAGTCCCCCTGCAAACATGGGAGCTGAGGCTCTCAAGGAGTGAATCCAAGCTTTCTAGGGCCACACTTCTGCTCTCATTGAAAACACCTGTGGGGGCTTGCTCAGAGCTGTAAGCTGTGTGTTTTTGGATGCGTTTTTGGGCCGTTGCACTTCAGCGGAGGGATGGAGTTTCCACCTTTCGAATCCCTCTCAGCATCCGGCCCTTGAATCCATAGGGTACGAGGAGATGCTGAAATGATTCTCGCACAGCAAGCTGCATGTAGTTGTCAGCTTCTTGTCTGAACCTGAGCTCAATAAAGCAAAAGACTATCCACAAAAGGCACCATCGTTCAGTGGGATGTGGTTCCATGAGAAATGGCTTCACAGATCTCTACAAGCTCTTCTGAAAATCTAAACGTAAGGGCTCCTAGTAGCGATGCCCTTGTTCCTAGTAGCGAACCTTGCTCCTAGTAGCGATGCCAGGAGCCCCTAGTAGGTCCTTGTTCCTAGTAACCTTTGTTGGAAAGCGGAATTGCTCGCCCAAACCAACTAGCTAAGCTGTGCTCTGGGTTTCAGACTCTAAACCAAGGGCCCGTGCTGCACAGACCTCAGAGCCACGGCAGATCAGCTCAACAAAATGTGGCAAACAAAGCCAAAGAAGCATTACACAACTGACATCATGTTTATTCAGGGTTCAGTCAGTGTGTCAGTGATCCGTTTAGCTTGCGAAGTATTGTTGATCTCTGTTCAAATCCTTCTGCAGTGGTGAAAATAGAAATAAGAAAATGTGTCTTCCATGCCTTTCCCAGTTTGGCGCAACTCCTCGCCAAAATACAAGCGCCAACTCATCTGGCGAGGAGGCATTGTAGGGCGCGTCCGAGGAAGTGGCCTCAAGCAATGAAGCTACTAGGAACAAGTGCCACGCTAGTAGTAACAGGTGCCTTACTAG